ACCCAGCAATCCACACTCTCCCTTGGGAACCAACGGCAGAGAACTCTGAAGCTGCAGTCCTGACCAAGGATGCAACATCTTGCCAAGAAACAGTAGCAAAATTAACTGGTCTTTTGGGAAGCAGGCTCCTGAGATAATTTTTCAGACTGCAAAGGAGGGGTGGAGCAAAGGCCAGCCAAGAATCTCTGGCCATGATAAAATAAACGCACAAAAATATTGCAAAAATTCCAATCAACTCAAGATCCCTTTAGACTCTGTGTATTGACACCACAAACATTTCTTGACTACTTACTATAAGCTAAGCATAGTATTAAGCAAACAAAGTAAAGACACAAATTATATTGGTGGGGCATTTCAGAAAAGTCATACAGCAATTTTATGGAGGTTATTTCATTTTTATTATGGTTTTATTAGCTGTTTGCATGGTTTTTATGTATAAGAGTTAAGGAAAACCCATATCTCTTAAGTAACAGCAATTTCAAAGTTTACTTTAAAAATTACCTGGGATAAAATTGTATAACTTTTCCATCACTCTCTTCATGAGCTGATTGAACTTTTTCATTCTTGAATTTGCCTCACTGAAAAAGTCTAGTTTTGCTAGGCCATCTTCCAAAAGATAAATTCCAACCTACAAAGAATTAACATATAATTAGTTTTAATTTGTATTATACCACTCTTTATAATATAAGAAAAACAATTTTTACCATCACTATTTTTAAAGATACTCATAGTATTTGTTCCACAAAACCAAATATATACCTATCAAATCTCCCTCACAAAGTTTTACTTTCAATTGAAATTCATTCTACAAATGCAGTGCCTACTATGTTCCATGTACCATTCAAATTGCTAAATGAAAAAAAATAAATAAATAACTTCCCTAACTGGAAACAAACCTGGGAGATGTGACAAGAACATCAATTCCACCTACCAAGTTCATGATTCCCAAACTTGATGAGCATCAGAAAAATCAGTGAAATTGGCTGAAAATGCAGATCCTGCATTTTTAATGCAGAAGATTCTGAAACATATGCCAGAATACTTAAGCCAGATTTGGGAATCCCTATTACTAGATCAAACAAAATGTAGAGAAAAACTGAACTTGATTAATGTTTTGTATCTTGATTCTGGTGAAGCAATGCAGTATGAAGTTTTAGTAAAAAAACTTGAATTTGAATAATAGCATTGGTATGTAGGAGCTAAATAAACGAAGCAAAATAATTGGCTTGTTTTGACCCAAATGTTCTCATTTGAAAACTGGAAAAAGCCTATATGAGATAGCCTAGATGATACAATTTTAAAACTTCCTAATGGTAGGTACTCAGTAAATGTAGTTTCCTTCATTTCCCTCTATCATCCTGGACCTGGTTCCCTAATCACTTAGATTCTCATATTCTTTTACTAAAGAAAAACAATCCAACCCAGCATTATAGAGGAATGGGTGGCAAAGATTATATTTTGTTAACATTTTACTCTGGCTGTGTTCACTTACAGATGGCTTACTATAGCAGCAATGTTTAAATAGCTATAAAAGTTGAGATCAGGGAACACAGAATAGATCAAGACTTAGTTTGTGGGGGAGGTGAACAGAACACAGACCCACAGCCATGAATTCTAACATACTTGATATCATTGAACCACCATTTTGGCATTCATGATCAACAATGAGAGGGAATGCCTGGTTGCATAGTTTTATTGTCTATGGAAGAATTAATTATAATTTAATGCTTCTAAATTTTCTCCTTTCCTACAATAGGAAATTCTGAACCTATAAAGAAGGCTACAATGTAACTGCTTTTTAATGTGAAAAATGCATAAGATAGTTTTCAACTGAACAATGGTGAATTTTAACGTTTTAGAATTTTTCCTTTCAAGTTTTAGCATGAAGATATACTGACCTCCTTCATAGTTTACAAAGTACATTTACTTACAGTATCTCACCTGACTCTCAACACAACTGTATGAGGTAAAAAGAATGGTGATTATTTACATTTCATACAGAAAGAAGCTGGAATTAGAGCATTTAAACAATTCACTTGGCTAGTGAATAGCAGAGCCTGAAATGCATTATAAATTTATTCAGTCATTTACTGAAAAATCTCTTCAGTATCAGGTGTTTTACCAGGCTGGAAAAATAAAAGACTTCATAATCTAGTGAGGAAGGAAGATCTAAAATGTAAGTACACTATAAGTGACCCAGGCAAAATTAAGTATATGCATCAGGTATGATGGGGGAAGGGCACAAAACACCAACCATGGAGTTTGAGATCTTTGTATATGAAGTAAACTCTGAGCTGAATATTAAAGAAGGACCAGGAATTAATCAGGGAAGAACAACCCAGGCAGAGGGAACTGTAAGAGCAAAATCAAAGATGTGGAAAGCTGGCAGGGAAGATGCAGGAACCAAATCAATTCGGAATTTGTAGGATGAAATAAAAAGCAGAGTGAGAAGATGAGGCTGGAGAAGTAGACAAGGACCTATCAGACTTATATGCTAGATTATACTTAATTCTGTAGGCAGTAAAGAACAGAATTCTATTTGCATTCTTATTATACCATTCCCGAGAGAAAGTAGATGAAGGAGTTGAAAAGGCAAGCAGGGAAATGGTTAAAGGATTGCTACAGGAAGAGAAAGAGATAATCAAAGCAAGTCATTGAGAATAGAACTGGAAAGGAGGAATCAGGAAGATCTCCTCGAAAAAGTTCAGCTTGGAAATAATTAGCTATTTTACATATATATATATTCTATAGTTACTGAAAGACCAAAATAAAGTGTACTTTGAAACTTAATAATGAGGCTCATTGCTGGCTTTTCAGACCTTCCTTTGAAGTTCACTTCAAAATGGACTGCCCAATGCAGAAGAACCTTAAAAGACACCCCAGAAGTTGAGTACCTTGATAATGTGGCTTCCTTCTGGTTTTTGGTAAAGTTTTATTCTTCTCTTCTTTTGCAGCCACCCCAAATCTTCTAACATTTCACCACTGAAGGATGATTCCACTCGAATGCTCTTGTCACAAATACTGATTGGCTTGCGGAGTCCTTTTTCCTGTTTCTCTACATCTATGCATTCTGAATGAACGCAGATCAGGAACTGGTTGCTTGATTCTGAACTCATCAATGTAAAACTCCTTTCAGAAAAATTTTCAGTTAAACTCTGTTCAGGAAGAAGCTGAAGAGTTAATTCTCCTAGAAATGCTTTCCAAGAATTATCAAAGTGATGGGGAGAGATCACAATATTCAGCTTTACAGACAAAGGGGAAAAGCTGTTACCAGTCTCTTCTTTATCAATTGATTTTGAGACGCTCACCTCCTCCAAACATCTCTTTTTATCTCTGTGAGCCACTTCTTCCTTTACATCATCTAAGATGATGCAGTGAGCAGAGGAGGAATCTGAACCTGGATAGGGATACTCGTCATCAGTTAAAGTGAGAGGTTCATTCCTTCTATCCTCATGCATATTCCAACGAAGCTGCTGTTGCTTTTCTTCATCTACTTTCACTGGAGGAGCACGTTTCCGTCGGCTGCTCATTTTCACGTTTTCTTGGATGGTAAATGTGAACTCTAGAAGACAAATGCCAACAGTAGGCATTCCAAGAGAGAATTTTAGTGTTAAAGTGATCCCATATGAGAAATTCAGCATAAACTAATAGTCCATACATATCACATGAAACATTCAGAGATACATACAGCAATGGATAATTTTTTAGTAAGTCAGACACAATTAAGAAACACACTAACCATAATCTCATGCATCATATAAATTCTAATAATCTTACAGGACCTTAATGGATAAATTTAATAATGATAATTGTTATGTAAAATAAATTCTAAAAATACATTTAATGAGCAGCATGACAGCAAAGTAAATCTTTCAAATATCCTAGAAACACATATTTGAAGAGTTTTAGTAATATGTAAACTCCTATCACCACTACAAAATTTCAATTTTGTTTTAAAATCCCAAAGTTAACAAAACTTCACTTGATCCATACATAGCTTAAAAGTCCCTAAAATATATCTTCGCTTTCAAAAAAGGAATAAGAAAATATAGAAATATATTTCTTTTTGCGGATTAGCAGATAAAAAGGATAAGGATAGCTGGGAAAGGAATAAGGGGGTGATGGCAATCAGGGGAAATGAAGCAGAGACAATAAAAGAAGAAAGAGAAGGAAAAAATGTAGGGAAAAAAGGAAAAGAAAGCTTTGTTATCTCAAAAGAGGAAACTGGTCTGAAAATAGCCTATATGAGGTAGGCCCCAAACTACACATTTTCCAAAATAATAGCTAATTCCTATATGAAACACAGAATAACTCAGAGATTAAATCATAAGGTCATAACAATGGTTGGTGCCTATTTTAACCTATTCCAACCATGTAGCTGGAAAAAAAAATGGATGTATAAACAATTGAAAATTAGCATCAAGAAATATTCTCAGTAATCCCATTTTTTAATAAAATCCAATCAGGTATCGCTGAATCCCATTATGTACTCAACACTGTGCTGTATTTTAGGAGAGGATACAAAATAAGTATAAATCAGATCATGGTCTCTAATTCAGTACAGACAATAAACTGTGTTTTGGTTTCTGCAAACTAAGTACATGGAGCAGTCCATGCCCCTCGCCCCCTTGTAATCCATCTCTAACTACTCTGCTCCAAATCTAGGAAAGAATGAGAAATGTGTTTTAAAGAAACAATTCAGAAATTCACAGCCCTGTTTAAAACAACAACAAAATAAAAACAGTATGGAAAATCTCAGTTGACCAGAAATTTTGAGGCATTCCTACAGAAGAATACAGAGAGCATCAGGCTGAAAAGCTAAGTGATGGCGTAAACGTAGTAGCACAAAAGATGGGAGCATCACCAAGAGGGCTTCCATGCTCAACGGTGGCAGAGCTGGTAGTAGAGCCCAAAGTGGGTCCGGGGCTACAAACATACCAGGGGTGCCAAAAAATGTATACACATTTTAAGAAATGTTATCTACGTACTACTTTTTGACGTTGAATTGAATTACGTAGCAATGTGTAATATGACGTTCGCTCAAAAGATGGCGTTAATCAAATGAATGCTAGCATCATTCATTGTATTACAATTTTAATAGTTTTTTCCTATCTTAAAATGTGTATACATTTTTTTGGCACCCTCCGTAGCTAAAAATGGAACAATAAAGTGGGAATTGGCAGGCCCTTATCTGCCCTATTTCTCACAAAGGCAAGACAGCTATAGTGGGGGTATCAATTTGGGGGAGAACAGTGCCTAAACTGGAAAGATATCCTTTGTTACTGAGTACAGAAGAAAAAGCATATGACAATGGACTCTGCCTATAGAGAGGTTTCCCCCATTATCTCTGAATACAATACAAAACAAGTCCAAGCAGCTGCTTTTGACCCACCCCTTAAGCAAATTGTATAAGCAGAAACAATGCAAGGTGAAGCTCGGAATCTGAACTGCAAAGATGAGCTCACAATCAACAATCAAACATTAAGGGATCTCCAACAGTAAAACAAATCAACAAAGACAAACTTTCACCAAAAGAAACAGATGAAGCAATCTAAAAAGGACTTTATAATACAATCAATCAACCTATTAAACCCTCAGGGAGATAACATACTGTTGTCTAAGAAAGGATTTGTATGTGGAATATATAAAGAACTCGTGCAAATCAATAGTAAGACAAAAACCTTATTAAAAATATGGACAAAAATTTTGACACTTCACCAAAGATGATCTTTAAGCAGCAAGTAAGCATATGAAAATTCTTCACTATCATCAGTCATTAAGACAATGCAAATGCAACCCACACACTACTATGCTACTATGAGAAATGCATATCCACTAGAATGGTTACACTTTAATTTTAAAAAGTAAATAAATAAAATAAAATTTACAAGACTGAAGATGCAGAGCAACCAGAACTGAACTCTCAAACATTCCAACAGGAACAGTTTGTCGATTTCTTATAAAATTAATTATACATTTCCTGCACAGCCTAGTTATTTCACTCCTTGGTATTGACCAAAGAGAAATAAAAACACAGATTTACAAGAAAAGACTTATATTTGAATGTTAATAGCAGTCTTATTAATAAAAGCCCAAAATTGGAAACAACCCAAATGTCCATCACCTGGTGAATGAACAAATGAGATACTACTCTGTGAGAAACTACTGATCCAACATACAACATGGATGAATTTTTAAAGCATTATAAGTGAAGGAAGCCAGATGTGAAAGACTGCATACTATATAATTCTACTCGCATGAAATTCTAGAAAAGGCCAAAATCTAGTGATAGAAAGCGGATTAGTGGTTACTTGCAGCCAGAAAGTGGGAAGAGGTGATTGACAGCAAAGGAGCTGGAGGGAAAACTTAGGGGTGACAGAAATGTTCTACTAGTGATTACATGTATTTGTCAAAACTAATCAAATTGTACAATTAAAATTGTTGAATTTTATTATATGTAAATTATACTCTAATAAAGCTGATATAAAAAGTAAAACAAAATGTAGATGCAGGAAGGATTTAAAAATTATAAGAGAATATTAAGAACAGTAGTTTACTTATAAAATATAAATGAATAATACTGACCCAAGAAATAGAAAATCTGAGAACACACACCATAAAAGAAACAGGTAATATTACTTCCCTACCTAAGATCTACCCCACTCCCTTGCTCTTGCCGACAGAACCTTTCCTTTATGTAGGAACAAGGTGGACTTGTGACTTAAAAGGAGGGTGATTTCCTTGGCAGCTCCAAGGAAGTTGTTTCTCTCTGTGTGGTCCCATAATGTTGCCACTAGCTCCATGTGGCTATTTAAATAAGATTAAATAACATTATAAACTCAGCTCCTTAGTCTCACTAGCCACACTTTAAGTGCTCGACAGCTATGTGGCTACTGTATTAGTGCAAATATAGAACATTCTCAAAAGTGCAAGAAGTCTAGCAAACAGCGCTGGCCTATGTCAATCATGAGAGTTCCATTCCCTAGCCAGTGCCTGGTTCATGAAGGTGCAGGTGATAAACTATAATCAATCTCTGAGGGCAGTTAACTACTACTACTCAAGCATCTTACCTCCTCTCTTAACTTGGAAGAATAATACAGGAAGCCCCTAATAACCTAAGTGTTTATCTATGTCCAGTTTTCCTCAGAGCACAGGCTAGCATCCTGGAATTTGGTTATTCTGCTGGAACTTTGAGAAGTTAGGCTATATCGGCTTATCGGTTAACCACAGGCACAGATATGCTATATAATACCACTCCAAAACTCAACGTCTTGAGACAGCAATTACTTTTTCTCACAGATCTACAGGATAGCTGAGGGCTGGCTTCTGGAGGAGCAGTCTGGCTCTGCTTAATGTGTTTGTCCTCCTCCTGGGACAGGCAAAGCAACCCACATATGAGGTCAGACAATCAAGTGCGTGAACTCACCCTAGAAAAAGTGCTACAACCCAATTGCTGAATATCACTACGGTCACCTTCGAAGAACCCTTCCCCTTGGGAAGCTATGCACCTACGCCAGTGCCTAGTCCACCCTTCAAAGCAATTTTGGAACTCTTTTTCTGGAATGGCCATCAGA